ACATGGTACCTAGGGCTTTAGTGCTACAAAATTAGAAGTGCTAAAAGTGTCTCCAGCCAACTGCTGGTGATTTCTTACACACAGCAAAAATGAACTTGCAATGAGTCATATTCTGTCAATTGTCAAGCACCCTTTATCCTAATGATTCTTGAATAAAAAGCATAAAATAAATGGCATAAATTCTAAAGGCGCAGTACATTTCTTTTATAGAACAAAAATTCAAAAACAATATCATTAGGAATTCCTTGATAAGCTCACATTCTATCTCAATCTAAATGAAAGTAATGATTTTACAAGCCTTAAGTGTTAGTTTTTACTACAGACTACTAGAAAGATTTAAGTAATTCATACACCTTTCTATTACCATAGCTTTCTTATGCTTTTAACTAAAAGCAGCTGCCTTAAATAAGTTCCCATTTACATGATAATCATCTGTTAAATAAAAATAAAAAATAAACAGTTAAAATTTAAATAATAACACATTAGCGAAAGAATAAAAGCAATAGATAAATTTCTTCTTTAACAGTCTCAAAAATAACAATAATAGTAACATCTCCCTTTTCAAGAGTGTTTGGAAATTTCTGTCAAGATAAGATGCTTCTGGCTTTGTATGTGGAATGATGTATTTGTATCCTGCCATAGATGATTACACCTGCTGTATATTTGCTTGTCTAACATGGTAAGAATTGCCATTATGGGTCACAATGACTTCACAATATTTCAACTATTTTAGATATGGTATCATATTGAAAAGATATGTCTAAGTTACCTTATTTTGGGGTCTTCAGTCACAAGCCTTTGAAGTGTCATAGTAAGTAGATTATAAGTTAATACTTCACATCAACAATGATATATCTGTGTATTTGAACCATATTTTTAGTACAATTCATAACTTTGAAATTGAACAATATAAGCTTCTATGATCAAAAAGCACCTTTAAAAATCTTACCAAAGACAAAAAAGTAAAATTGTAGTAAACTACCTGACCCACCATAGCATTAGTGTTTTTATCACATATTGAACCTGATACATTCAAAAAAACATATTAACACAGGAGACACAATAGCATGCTCACTAAATTTGCTGACCTTCAAGATACTGATGACAGTGTCCTCGTTCTAGGCATTTTGTACAGTATCAAATATCCAATATCATGTTGTATTACCTTCCTGCAACTCATAAGTAAATACAATCAGTTTAATCACATGCACCATAATAAGCACACCATACCCATGATACTGGACACCCCACCTTAGTTTTATCACTTTAAACTTGAGACCCTTGAGTAGCTGCAGCATAACAGATTGGCTGTGATCAAAACTCTCAGTCTTCCTTGGTTCTCATCTGTGTCAGTTTATCAAGAAAGAACTGCGGTATAAATCTTGTTTCTGATGGGCTGAGCTTGGTCTCAATGGCTCTCACTTGGCTCCAGTGTTCCCGACGCCTCTCAACGTCTTTTGAATCTACCCTGTATCAGAGGTAACCAAACATTAATTCAATGACACTGATCTACTTTTAAAGTAATTTTCTTTGTTTATGTTAACAGAACAATGGTCAATATATATAAAATTAAAAAATATCATATCACAGAATTATTTTGATCTATTTGTACTACAGTCCACCTCATGTGGCAAATGAGCCAAAAATGAAAATAAAAACACTCCCAAATTGTACAGCAAAAAAAATATTCACTATATGGCATATTCTTTGCTCCTGAAAAATACTTTGCACTGAAATATCAATAACAATGCATTATGGAAAGTGTTCCATATAAACTTAAAAAATGAGATTAACTTTCCATAAGCCCAAACTTACTTAAAGGTATGAGGATCAATGAAAAAGTTCCACACTGTCCATAATATCAACATCATGAATATTGCAATCCATAGAGTCACCACATGGCTGAAATGTATAATTATTATTTATTGTGGTTTTCAGCTATAATATCAAAAACACAATGACATCATAAAAATAGGTTGCTGCATTAACATCAACAAACATGAAAACATATATAAAAATAAGTATGAATATGCATGAAATTTGAAACAGTAATTAAGCAAGTTAGGTGAGGAATATCACTATGAGCCATGCCAAATTGGTTATGAGGTAGGGCTAGCTTGACAAATAGTAAAACTTGCCTGGGAAAGGGAATGGTGACTGTCTCCCAGCCAAATTTGATACATATTAACAATTCTGTGCATACAATGGCTAAAAAGAGCCACGATTGCCTACCAAACTTCAAAACATCTCTGGAGAAGAGAAAAGAATACAAATCAGTATCATTTTCAGGAAAGAGAAATTATTATCAGCATAATATCCACCAACAACAATTAACTACTACAGAAAGGCAATACTCACGGATCATCAAGAAACTGGAACACCTCTCTGAGAGCAACAGCACCCCAAGGCAAAATGAACAGGAGACGGACAAGGTTGACCCAGTGACTTGGCTCCACCCACAAAACGAATTTTAGGTAGAATGTGTTTAGTTCTGCTAGAAGGAACTGTTGAAAAGTAGGTGAAATTTGAGTAAACTGCAGTCATACAATTAATTGAGCAACATGTCTGATGTGTGTTCTTAAGTTTGCCTATCATGAGTTGGCCTGTAGAAAAATGGTAAAAAATCTGAGGAATAAAATATAACTACATATAAACCCAAGGCACAAAGTTATTTACTATTGTAGTCATAACAAAAACTCCATGTTAAATATGTGATTTTTTTTCTGGGTTAAAAGTGCAATGCAACCAAAAACAGTAAAGTAATTATCAAAATACACTTGATTAAATTCCATTAGCTACAATTAATATAACCTTCACACTGGCCCCACCATCCTTCCAGCACAAGTCATATATTTCAAATATCAGACAATAGTTCTGATTGACCTAAGTTTCACTTGCCTTTCCAAGTTACTTTTTAAAATTGAATATACAAACATAACTACAATCACTCTAGATAACTGACAATATATGCTAAAAACCACATGCACAATATCTCTTTATCAAATTCAATAAGTAAACTGTTGTTCTCACACTTAAGCTTCTGAAAAAATTAACATGCTTTACCCAATATTTTATGCTGTTCAAACAATGTCCATATTTAAACCCTATACCCCAGTGTATGTCTCTTGTCTGATACTGAATAATAATCATGGTAATACAATCAATGGCACTTACCACCATGTAGCCATACTACAGTTGAAGGTAAAGTTTAAAGGGTACAATGTAAGGTTGATATTGCATTACCTAAATTCAAGTAATGAGCAAATGCCAAATACATGATATACATAGCTCATGAGAAGCTATTTTACTGTATAGCAGAGATACACTATGATACAAATATAAATTCTGAATTCTATTATCAGTCCATACAAAGAAATATATACTGTTGCTTCCAGTCAACAGACACTGTTATCTACCTCCATATAGATCAGTTTAGTAGTAAGTTACTTTAGCTTTTGGCAAATTTAGATAAATTATAGTAGATAAGCAAAACAAACATATGACATAACATAATAAATAAAATAATGAAATACTAGCACCACCAACACAAACCTAAAAAAAGACTCACAAAATCTTACCACAGCTATAATTCCAAGCATGGAGAACCACCGACCAAGAGATGACAGAGGCTTCCAGTCGAAATCTACCCAAACGTATGGACCGAACTGGGCTATGATGCGCCGCAATTTGCCTCTGAGAACCACCAATACAAAGGTGTTAGGAACTTGAAACTGAGCAGTTCTGCATCTGATTAATTCTATTTTAATGAATGGCAAGATCACTGCACAATAGGAATTCCTTTATAAGTGAATCACTATAACCTGAGCAGCGTCACCCAACCGCAGGAGGGAACAGAAGCAGTGATACAGTACCTGTAAGTGGGGATGTTCCAGAGGCCTCGCCAATGATAAGTCTTGATGGAGAAATACTTAAGAGACTGAAGCCCACAGTAGATTCCCAGACCATTACACAATAGGGCATCCATTATCCACTAGAAAAAATGAAAATTCACGATCGGAAAAGTGTATGAAGGATGAAGCTATGAACAGCGTTCACTACAAATATCAAAAGTGTGTTCCTTAAATGGATAAATTGGTGAAGGTCTAGCTAAGTTAAATGCTAAAAAAGTAAGAAAAAAATTGGATTTTATCATAAAAGATGACATTTCATTTATATAATTTTTTTAGACCACTAACAGCCACATTCAAGTTTCAGGCATGTTTAATATCTACAAGGGTTACATTCACATATCTCCACTGAAAGGTTTACATTCCATTCTAACTTTCTTGTTTTTTCATATAGAACAAACATTAACAATTTAAAAAATAAACTAAATTTAGGCATAATCACACACCAAAGAAAAGAAAAGAAAAAGAAAAATTGGGAAATATTCATAAAGTACCTATGAAAAAATGCTCAAGAGAATGGGTCAAGAAATGGACACATACCGCAAATGCACAGAAGGGGAAAAGGGACGACTAGACTTACATGGTCCCACCAGCACTCGGAAAAGTTGGGTAGCTGGTGCTCTAGGGTATACTCCAGGATCTCAAACATGACTGAGATGACCCAGCAGAGCCACCAGTCCCGCAACAGGAGGGTCTTCAGCCACCAGCCGAAGAAGTGCAGCGGCACAAACAAGTCTAGTTTGTCCTGTAGGGAGGAGGGAATGATATAAATTCTTTAAAGGGTGGGAAGATAGCATAACAGAAGGATAATATAAAGGAAGAAAGGAAGGAGGATAAGATGACAGAAAAAAAATATTGACAAAGAAAAGGAAAAATAAAAAAATGAAAGAAAGAATAACATAAAAGAACAGAAAAGATCATGTGAGGTTACTGCCTCATTATGCAAGTATATATTTTGATAACAAATTCTTCTTGAATAGGCTGCAAGGAATACTCAGTGAACTGATTAATTACAGTAATCAAAGAAAACTGAAGTTCAAATGAAGGCTAATTATATTACTCAGTATATAAGATCTGAATGTTAGATATTACATGATAAATTAACTGATTCCTTTCTAAGTAGCTATTGCACACATTGCACACAGAAGCAATGCTTATTACATGACATTTTCTGTGAATCTATAAATATCAGCATGAAAGTCAGTCTTCAGTCCAAAATCAATAAAAGGGATGTATTGATAAAAATTAACCAACAAATATAAAACCAAACTCTTCTTAAAAAAAAATCTGAACCAAACTAAAGCCACTATGTTCGAAAGAACCTTCTAGCCACCTTTATGTTGTGGTACGGATCATCTGTGTGCTCTGGGTCATATAGGAGGCAGTTCCCACCATAGTCCTTCTCCTCAAGCGGCTCCCCTAACTTGGGGTCTATGAACTTCAGTAGTTGTCTAGCACCAGAAGCACTCTGGAAAAATGAAAAATTAATTACATTAACCAAAGTCACTCCAAATATATCAATATATCACTACATATATATCAATATTGTCACCAGCCAGAATAAAAATAAGGAGACATATGCAATAGCTATGGAGGGTGGTGGTGGTGGAGATGGTGGAAGTGGAGGTGGAAGAAAAGGAAGAAGATGAAGAGGAGGAGAAGTAGGAGGAAAGGAGAAGTAGCAAGAGAGGAGATGTAGGAGGGGGAGGAGAAGGATAAAAAGGAGGAATGGTGAAGTAGGAAGAGAGGAGATGTAGGATGAGGAGAAGAGGAGAAGAGGAGGAGGAGGTTGAAAATGAGGAGGAAGGAGGAGGAGGAGGAGGAGGAGGAGGAGGAGGAGGAGGAGGAGGAGAGGAGGAGGAGGAGGAGGAGGAGGAGGAGGAGGAAACAGAGGAGGAGGAGACAAGAAGTAGGAGGAGGAGATGAGAAGTAGGAAGAGGAGAGAAGTAGGAAGACAGGAGAAGTAAGAGGAGGAGGAGGAGGAAAAGGTAGAGGAGGAGGGGAGGAAAAGGTAGAGGAGGAGGAGGAGGAAGAGGAGGAGGAGGAGGAGGAGGAGGAGGAGGAGGAGGAGGAGGAGGAGGAGGAGGAGGAGGAGGAGAGAAAGAGGAAGAGGAAGAGGGGGAGGAAGAGGAAGGTGGAGGAAGAGGAGGAGGAGGAGAGGAGGAGGAAGGAGAGGAGGAGGAGGGAGGAGGAGGAGGAGGAGGAGGAGGAGGAGGAGGAGGAGAGGAGGAGGAGGAGGAGGAGAGGAGGAGGAGGAGGAGAAGGAGGAGGAGGAGGGAGGAGGAGGAGGAGAGAGAATGAGGAGGAAGAGGAAGAAGAGGAGAAGGAGGAGGGGAGGAAGAGAAAAGGAGTATGTGGTGGAGGGGGAGGTGACCACAGTAACATCAGTGGTAGAATAATAATAACAACAATACTATAAATAATTATAACAATGATAATAATGATAAGAACAATAATATTACAGATATTATTAGCATTATCATTATTATGATGATGACGATATGACTGCCCTTGATACACATACTATAACTATCATAATAATAATAATCTTAGTATAAAGGCTTACTCAAGATATATCATTTTCCCTGTGAGCTTTCAAAAAAAGGTCATAAATTGGTGTTTTCAAACACATCAAGCATGGCAAACGTCAATTTGCAGCAAGGTATGAATAAACGGGCTCTTGGAAGTACAGTTCCAAAAAGCGTCATTCCTGTGAATGGCCTAAGATCCTTCATGTCAGAGGTTCAAATCTGCATTTGTTATCATTTGGAAGAGTCATGCTCGACTGCTTTTCACCTGCCAGTGACCTCTGACCAAAGAGCAGGTTGTATGTGCCTCATTCTAAACTGATTCACTCGCATATTTGTCTGTAAGTCTAAGTGAAACCGTTTCTCTACCTTAGGCAATTAATTCATGTGCATAAGTTTGTCATGGGGCTCCCATGTGTTCATATATTTTGTTAAAAGAGTTTTGATGCCGGAAAAGTGCTAGATTAAAGTCGGCTTTCCTCTGGATCGAAAGGCTGTGGCATCATAGTGGAAGTCCTAAGGGCCTAGGGCTTTCAGTTAATTAGGGATTTAGGTTGAAAAAAAGCACAATAACACCACAGCTCACTCTCACATATGTGCTTCTCATCCAAGCTGGAAAATCATCTTCCACTGCAAACTTTACAGAGAAGTTTCACATTACAGTCTACTCCCATAAGATTTAAAACTTGGCTTCTGAGGAAGAATCAAGGACTCTGTTGTGAAATGCACAGAGAGCTGGGCATTATACCATAGTCAGTTGTTGCTCTCATGGGACAACAGACAAACTAGGCTACTACATGATTCCAGAGCCGAGTATTTGCTCCATAACAAGTTACTGAGGTCAACAAGCCTCCTCAGCATATATATAACTTTCCCTAAAACCAAAAGTCCCGGCTGTAGATTCTGTGTGCAATGTGGTTGTGTGAAACCACCTTGAGTATATAATAAGGTAACTTTACTTTAATTGGTCTGCTCCTTGGCCTGACTGCACCAAACAGGAAATGCTGATATGTGGCATGTCACCTGTACCCACACCTTTCTGCTGAGTTAGGCCAATGTTTTTG